CAAGTTTTAATTTAGACCTTTCCGGCAGTTGAGAGGAAACTTGCGGCTATCAATGTGTTCTCACGTTTATCAATATCATTTACATTACAAATCGTTTTATTGTTGATCGAAAGTTCATTGCTACCTGTTTTCATGTTTAATTAAAAAGTATTCAATTTACATGATTTAGTTATATATCTTTTTGTATTATTCATTACATGGATATTATGGTCTATATTTAAAAAAATCCAGAACATGGAGCTTCTGCTTTGAAAAAGTTCATGCTGGCCATTCGAAGCAAATTTCGAAAAAGTTCCACAAAATCCAAAAAAAAGGACAGTCACGAGGAACCAATTACAATATGTCTTCGACTAGACGGTATGTCATTAAACTTTTTTTTCACAAATAACGGCAAGATATACTCATTCTTATATAAAAAGGATTAACAATAACATTATATATCATCATAGACAGGTATTATTAGAATAATTTTATTTAGATGAGTAAATTTCATCGATTGTTTTGTGGATAGACCTTTAAAAATATTTCTGATTATTGTTTTATGCCACTGTAATATATTGCGCTGTTTTGTGGTTATGCAAAATGTGGATTGGATAGTTGTCATCTGTTTGCGAAAAGTAATTTTGCTTTTGAAGCTTATTCGTTTTCAATTGAACACTTTGCTTTGTAAAAAATATTATCCTCAATACTTTCTGTCATCAATATTCCTTTTTTTTCGAAATGTGTTTTTTTTACGTTCCTAGGATTATAATTATGTTTGTGTAAAGTTCAGTCGAATCTAAATATATCGCTCGTAAATAGAGGCAACAGTAGTATACCGCTGTTCAATAGTCATAAATCGATTTAACTCAAATAAATCCGATCACAAACCAAAACCGAGGGAAACACATTAACTATAAGAGAAAAAAAAAACAAAAAACAACGGAACAACAGAAACACTGAACTGCTACAAAAACAAACGCCAACATACATAGAAACGGACTATTTGATAACAACTGCCATATTCCTGACTTAGTACAGGACATTTTAAGAAATATGGTGGGTTTAACCTGGTTTTATGGCTAGCCAAACCTCCCGCTTATATGGCATTATTAAAAATACCGCTAAAATGACAACATTACGTGACAGGAATACAGTAAAAATAAACGCAAGAACACTCAGGACAGAGAAATACAAAAATAAATAATATTATCATAATAATAGTACATAACAACATGTAAACCACAGCATAACAACGGACTACTCCCATGTACATCACAATAGAATTATGAACTGCAAGTCACACGAATGTATCAACGCCACAAAAAGTGACGTCACAGGTAAATTTCTAAAAATAGAATATAAAATTGAGATTAAGTTTGTAATGGTGTTATTTTATGTATTTTCTAACCATGACAAGAGTATTAATATAGAATTGTGTTAGTAATGGTGTAATTATTTGTATTTTCTAACCATGTCAGTTTTTCTTCTTAATCAAAACTGTGTAAGAATAAATAAATCCTGTGCATAAAGATGCTTTAAACTAAAAATCATACAAATGAACTAATAGTAGCTGATTAATTATCTTAACTTTTACATACATATAATTTAATAAAAAGAGAATTCAAACCACAAACGATAAGACATAACACAATATCTGACAAGACTTACAAACGAAACATCATAACTAAATACATGAATGTTGGATGTATAAATACCGAGACACGTTTAATAGCAATGTTAATTCACACTCGGGAAAACAGTCTTATACGGGAATAGGTCACGTTCGGTACTTAGCAGATCAGACGACGTAGATGGTAAACCACAATCTAACAATTCGTTGTAAAAATTTCGTTAATTAGTTTAGACACAGACACATCGTATAGATTAATCAAGTGATGGTGTCCATAAAATTTAGGGAGTGTGATTTTTAATCTTTCATCCTCATAACTCTGTTTCAGCAGTTTCTGCGTAAGGAGCACACTCCTGTATATGAAGTCCTTATAGTGTGAACATGCACGAGCATAACGTATCAACTGAGATATGAAACACCATACGATCGGCCAGTAGGGGTGCACAATTTGTACTCATTGGAATACCGACTGTCTGTTGAAATATCAATCCTCCAAACTCAACAAATATATTGTCGATAAAAAAATTCAGCATTTTGATGATAATATCATCTTCAGTATTTTCTGATATAATCAGTGTGGTTCTTCACAAAATAAGAACTATTATAACCCAAAACAAGAAATTTATATCTACGATTCCCATTTTTATAGAAAAAGCTCTGTTTGATGAGATGGTGAAGTCGATTTTTCAATTGAGCATGGAGAATTGTAGTGTAAAGCGTAGAAAAATCAAAAGTTTTAATGTTGCTGCAAAATTGCAGAGATTGTGATCTAAGATTTACCAGTAGATCTTTAGAATTTTTAAGAATCCACATCTGATTGACACCACTGGTTGAATATATTTATCACAATATTTTTGAAGGCCATCTTTTACTGTAGAAAGAATAGTAGTCAGCACTTTAGAAAGATGTTTAGTTGAACATCTTGATCCAGCTATGTATTGTTCTTTATAAGGAGTTTTGTGAAGTTTGGTATCCAGAATAATGACGGTAGATTTTTTTTCGTTTTCTTTGATGTTGATGCCAAAAAGAAAGAAGGACACATTTGTAATTTTGTAAAATTTCATCCTTTGTAAATGATGTTAAAGAATATGTAGGATTACCAGTTTTGCTATTTATTCCAAGCTCTTTCGTGAGACATTCCAAGTAATGGTTTTTACATATGGAGACAATATTATTGAAGGCTTTATCTGCTGGAACAACGACATATTTGTTATGCAAAGAGGATAAAGCATCCACAACCTCCAGGTTCTTGAATGGGTTAGAAACCCTTGTGCTCATAGTACATCGTAGTTTCTGAATGCGTTTCTGAATGCATGAATAGCTTTGATCCATTCAGACAAAGTGTCCAGTTCTGGTTCATCTGGCTAGCGTTTTACCCATTTTCTGGCATAGTCTTCAACTGCATCCATCAGTTACCTCAAGTTATTTTTCCAGTAGCCAGTTGATGGGCTTGGGAATTCTATATTTTGGTCCCTTGGCTAACAACTCTCTTAGTTCATGTAGTTGTTCATTGGTTACGATCCCAAGGTTGACTAAGTTACTTTTAGTCATAAAAATAAAAATACACAAAAAACACAAAATACCTTAAATTTAAGTAACTGGAAAGGCATGAATATTTATAAAAATTTGCATTACTAAATACCTCGAACACTTTTATTAATTTTCAGTCTTTAAAATTGAATCTGATCAAAATCCTCACACGAATGTTTTTTTTTTTTCAAGTGAAACATGTAGCACGTCACATTTAAATTGTATCGATTTACATGCAGTAAGCTATATTTCACTGTTTAAATTTAGTCACACCCAAGTTAATTAGATCTAACCAAAACGAATCCGTTATTCAGAAATTGAATTCAATCAAACGTATCAATGTACACAGTAGAAAGACACAATAGAAGAAATTCATTCAGTTATAATATTCAAAAACGCATATTCAAAATGTACTTTCGCATTAATATATATTAACCATTTTGAGATAATATTCAGTTCTAGGACAATCACCAATATTTTATGTCTGATCTGGTAAAGATACCTTTAAATTCAATCATTGGGGTAAAGCAGGTTTTAAGAACATATAAGTAATTAAACTTGAACAAAGTCTGCAAGTATCAATTTTCTCTTTAATCTTACTGAAAACTTTTTCTAAAAACTTACAAAAGTATACTCCTAGTTTCCAAATAATAATTTGAAGTCTTTAAACATAGTCAAAAGTGTCATGATTGTAGATGCAATTTATTACCAGTAACTACTTAAAAAGGTCATTTATGACACTTCATGAACAGCTGTTAGTCGGGTACTTTTTTCATATTTAAATTTTTTATTATAAAGAGTTTATATAATACAGAAACAAAACAACAGTTTATTGTATTATTTTTGGTATACTAATAGACTTCTAAAAGTAATTGTTTATTTACTTGTATCTTATAGTTAGGTCGAGAAAAGAAATGTACATAAGTTTATCAATTGATCCAACTTTCTACCTTATTGAATTTAGAACAATGTTTTGTTTATTTGTTGAATTCATCGAATGTAAATATATTTATTTTAGATCCAACAGCAACAACCGTTGAAAACATTTCCAAATCAAACGCAGAAAAACCTCCTAAAGGGGATATAATATACAGAAGATCTGATTTGGGTATACTGAAATTATTTATAACATACATGTACTTTTTTTTTTAATTCCTCGTCGATAAAAAATGAAAAAGATAAGAATATGAAGTTAAGACCTTAAATAGATTTTGCCATCAATTTTAGGTACTTTTTTTATTTCATCATATGGCTCAAAACGTTTCTTCTAAGTTATACATCCGATTGACCTGATGAACAGATATTCATTCAACTAGTTGAAGTTTTGAGATGTCTTTCTGATCTTTTACTGTGATCAGCATAACGGGAACTACATGTAGAGTACGATCTGCTTACCTTGTCGGATCTCCTGAGATCACTTTAGTTTTTTTTATAAGAGGTTTGAGTTGCTAATGCTCTAGCTCTCACTGTTGTTATATGTGCTATTTAATTTCTGAAAGTATGTCTTATATCAACCAGTCAAAGTCAAAATTGTGTTTAAATTTCAGAATTTTGCATTCTTTAAAGTTTAATGATAAAAGATGGGACATAAACTAACCTAAACCGATCACAAAACGGGTTTACGAATTTTGGTATGTCTTATGGTTAAGGAAGAGTAAAAAACTAAATCATTATTGAATGATGTCTTATCACTAAATATTACTTATTCACACAGATGATATGACGGCGGGCGTTATGAAGAATGAACTGTTGTCCCTTCCGGAGCAGCTGATATCATATCCCTTAGTCATGTTAGTATATCTCGCCTATTTTTACCCCAATACGTTTTACTGTATATCTTATTTTTACATTATGTTTTAGATGAGGAAAACCCGGTAGAAGAAACGAAACCGGGTAAGTACATTGTAAACATATCATTGAGTTACAAAGTAAATTTCCTTTTAATTTCCCTTTAAATTTATTGACCAGAAATTAAAACACGGCAGTTTAGGATAAGGTTTTTACTTATCATTCTAATAGATTGTTTAGAGTTAACGTAATACGGCATCATTGATATACGATTTCTAGGTATGTTCAAAGAAACAGACATGATGAAATTAGCCGTGTTTTATCAATAGGAAAGAAGAGGTGAAAATGCATAATATGATGCACTGTTTTCTTTTCTTTAATTAATTTTATGCCTATATTTTTTTGTGTGATCTGGTACAAACATTTTCAAAATAGAAATTTGGAGCCTTTAACATGTTTAATCATAGTCAAAAGTGTCCTGATCAAAGAATGTAAAATATATACAAGTAACTATTTTAAAAAGGTTATACATTAAACTTCACGAACAGCTGTCAAAGTGTAAATCTTACATTATAGATAAAGAGTTTTTTTATAATACAGAAACATAACAACAGTTTATTGTTTCCTTTTTTTGGTATACTAGTGCATTTCTAAAAGCAAACTTTTTATTTATTTGTATGTTAAATATCAGTCGAGAAAACTAATTTCCATACGTTTATCACGTGATCCAACTTTCTACCTTATTGTATTTAGAATAATGTTTTGTTTATTCGTTTAATTCATCGAATGTAAATATACGTATTTATTATTTCAAAATCAAACACAGAAAAACCTCCTAAAGGGGATATAATATACTGAAGATCCGATTCGAGTAAATTGACATTTTCATAACATACATGTACTTTTGTTTTAATTCCTTGTTGATAAAAAAGGGGAAAATATAAATATGAATTTAAGACTCACTCCGTCTAATTTGACCTTAAATGAATTTTGCAATCCCTTTTAGGTACTTTTTTATTTAGTCATATTGGCTCAAACGTTTCTCCTTAATCATACATCCGATATACCTGATGAACAGATATTCATTAAACTAGTTGAAGTTTTGAGATGTCTTTCTAATCTATTACTGTGATCAGCATAACGATAACCACATGTAAAGTATGATCCGCTGACCTTGGTGGATCTCTTGAAAACACCCTAGTTTTTTATAAGAGGTTTGAGTTGCTCATGGTCTAGCTCTCCATGTTGTAATATGTGCATTCCGATTGTTGAAAGTATGTGTTACATCAACCAGCCATAATCCTGTATATCGTTTACAGTTTACGAATTTTTGTGTGTCTTATGGTTAGAGAAGAGTCAAAAACAAATTCGTTATTGAATGATGTCTTATCATTAAATATTACTAATCCACATATATGATATGAGTAAAACTTTATGAAGAATGAACTGTTGTCCCTTTCGGAGCAGCTTTCAAAGCAGCTGATACCATCCCGGTTTAAGGACGTGGTTGTTGTTCTTTATACTAAGATGTTGAGATCTATGGACTGTTTTCGTCGTTTTTCTGTTATTTTGCCACGGTGTAGCCAGTTTCTCTTAGGAGTTTTGAATTATTTCTTAGTCATGTTAGTATATCTCGCCTATTTTTACCCCAATTAGTTTTACTGACAATTTTATTGTTATATTATGTTTTAGAAGAGAAAGTACTGGTAGAAGAAACCGAACCTGGTACGTACATTGTAAACATTTCTTTGAGTTACAAAGTAAATTTCCTTTTAACTTCCCTTTAAATTTATCAGATAACGATAACTTTCATATTTGAGAATAACATTTATTGACCAGAAATTAAAACACGGCAGTTATGGATAAGAATTTTACTTCTAATAGATTGATAAGAGTTAACGTAATACGGATATGAATGACTTCGTCGATTACGACATCACTGATTAATGATTTCTAGGTATGCTAAAAAAACAGACATGATGAAATTAGCCGTGTTTAATCAATAGAAAAGAAGAGGTGAAAATTCATAAATGATGCATCATTTTCTTTTATTGCATTAATTGAATAAATAAAGACCTTGGCATTCATTCCGCTATTGCCTCTGTTCAAATTGAAAAAAAAAAATCAACTGCCGTTTGAGGGTTACTTTCGGCCACGAAATATACCAGTTACATTTGCAAATCTTAATTCCAAAAAGCATTTACCAGGTGCTAGCTCTTTTCTCTTATAGGACCTTCAATGAAGGTATGATGTGGTATTGTCGAGAATGTAGAATCATTTTAAGTAAGGAAATGTAAGTGCAAAACTTATGCAATATTCTAACGGAAGAACAACAACGATAAATGTTTCTTTTGCTGATTGTACAACATTAAATTGTTAGAAAAAATTCAAATAAAAAAAAAGACGAATTCTAACTATAATGAAAAACTAGATTAGATAGAAAATAGAAACTTTAAATAACAAAAATTATCAGCTAGACAAGATCTGCAAATGACTCCTTTTGAACTGAGTTTTACTGTTCGTATTGCTGTGTGTTTGTTTATTCTATTTTAGCTAGAGGTATAGGGGAGGGTTCTTCTCGTTTAATTTATGTTGGCATGATACTAAATATTTTAATACTAAATACTTTATGGAAGGGATTGTGCTTGATTTTCATATGATTAGCACAAAATCTTTCGATCAGTTTAATTTATGTCGTCTGTAGCTGGCATGTCAGCTACTGTTTGTAGACCTTTCTTAATTAATGTTAGTCGTTTTAATTTTGTTTAATTTCTTCTTTTTCCTATTTTAAAATCGAACTCGGATTTCATTGGAAGGTGCCAAGACCTTGTTGATAAACATTCCGTATCAACTTCACAAATAATACACGATGGTCTTGAAGTATAGATTCTGCGTACTGACGTTGTTGTTAATCTTAATTACGTGTTATAGTATTCTTTTATTGTCTTTATCAATATTACTTTGACTGTTAAGTCTGTTTTTTGAGATATCCAATTGACGTGACTCTGGCCACAGACCACAATTAAATTCCTCTATTAGTTCTTTATAAAGTTTTGTTTCATTAAAAAAAATGCCCCATACATTTTTGTCAAATCTTTTGTGTGTGAATTGTATAATACTAGTCCAAAAATATATCCAAAATTCACAAAGATTGAACCAATCACTCTTACAAATTTAGCCAATACACATCCATACCCGTAGGGCAAGTCAAGAGATGTTCCGAAAACTGTAAATATCACCTTTTTTGCACCTGGCCTAATCACTCTTTCCATATCAAAATCAGTTAAAATACAACATCCAAAAGTCTATTTCACCTCTCTTTTTTCATTTCCACCCCCAAAAAAAAAAGAAATGAGTGAGGAAGGAAAAGAAAAAAAATTAAGAAAAAATACACTCTAATTAAAAGGAACTATATTCGTGGACAATGAAAAGTGGGGTCATTAATTGTGGTCTTGGGCCTATTAGGGGTCTTAAACTTGACCAATTCTAATAAAACTTGGCATGATTTAAGCTTAGTGTATTATAAAACAGTTTAAAAAGTTTCAAAGCCATATGATACTAATGAACTTTTGGTGCTGAATTGAGGCGTTGAATTAGAACAATTTCAACTATCAAATGTGGGCTTCTAAAAACCAAAAGATACCAAAACTTGCACTTTTTAATGTATCTATGTATAAGTTATTACCTATTCAAAGCAACTGATAGCATACTTCATGTATCAGACTTATAAAAAATGGTCCGAAGTTAATTTTATATCAGCATGTGCCAAAAAATAGAGGTTTTGAAATAAATTGAGGCCTTATATGAAATTTAATATTTTTCACTTACCACAATTTTCTGAAGTTGTTAAGGTATAAGAAAACCTTTTACATGTTATAAATGTACTTTTAATGGAAATATAAGTTTCAAATAGCATAACACATGTGGATAAAATGGTCTTCTGCAATGTCAAGCTTAAAAAACAGGTTGTCAATTTAGGCCATTCCCCAAATTTGCATATTAAAAAGCATATAATAATATGGGAGATGGAGATATGTTTCTTTTTGCTCAAATCTTTGCTTAGATATGATAAAACATGCAGCCTGGATGTAACAAGACTGTCACTTCCAAACATAAATGTAGAAAGTATGGTCTGATGCGAAGTTATTTACTGTACTTTTTAAAACCGGCATGAAATTTCAGCCTCAAAAGGCCAATATTTTAACCACTAGCTATCAAACTAAAGAAAATAAAGATAGTCTGTGAAACAGACAAGGCCAAACAACCAGTAATAAGTGCTTTTGATACAGATTCAGTGAAATCTGCTGTAATTAATACAACTTGTATGTGCATAGAACCTCATTTTTCACTTGCTTCATACTGACCGTTTGACTAAGACCATTAAATCCAGCACATTTTGCACTCTTATTCTGATTTGATCTACTTTTTTTTGTGTTCAGTGTTCAAAAATGAGTTAAACATCTACATTAGATACCACAAACACAAATAGAAAATCAGAAAAATCTGTCAGAGAGAACGTAAGCATGCTACTTTTGTAAAAATATTGAAACAACTGAAAAAGTTCAATTTTGGGCATGTAGGCAGAAATGTCACTTTTTTACAAAATTTCTATCAAATAAAAGTGAAAATCATTTATTCTCATGTAGTTTGACAAATTAATACCAATAGATGATTCAGGGAAGTTGTCAAAGTACAAATTCAATATTTCCTGAATTCACCTCTTAGGCCACAGACCACAATTAAAATCCTCTATTAGTTCTTTATAACGTTTTGTTTCATTAAAAAAAATGCACCATGCATTTTTGTCAAATCTTTTGTGTGTGTAATGTATAGTACTAGTCTAGAAATATATCCAAAATTCAGAAAGATTGAACCAATCACTCTTACAAATTTAGCCAATACACATCCATACCCCTATGGAAAGTCAAGAGATGTTCCGAAAACTGTAAATATCACCTTTTTTGCACCTGGCCTAAATCACTCTTTCTATAAAAAAATCAGTTAAAATACAACATCCAAAAGTTTATTTCACCTCTCTTCTTTCATTTCCACCCAAAAAAAAAAAACTAAGAAAAGAGTGAGGAAGGAAAAGAAAAAAAATAAGAAAAAATGCTCTCTAATTAAAAGGAACTATATTCGTGGACAACGAAAAGTGGGGTAATTAATTGTGGTCTTGGGCCCTCTGTACTTATGTATCCCGTCATACTTTGAACGACAAAATTATTTTATTTATTAATATTACTTTTACTGTTAAGTCTGTTTTTTGTGATATAAATTTGACGTGACTCTGTACTTATGTATCCCGTCATACTTTGAACCAAAAAATTATTTTATTTATTAATATTACTTTTACTGTTAAGTCTGTTTTTTGTGATATCCATTTTACGTGACTCTGTACTTATGTATCCCGTCATACTCTCAACGACAAAATTATTGTATGTCTACCTGTGCGAATTTCAAACGCGCGATTTTACGCCAGTACTTAAAACCTTCCATCCTTTGTGGGTGGATTTTATATAGATAAATAAAATCGTATAATAAAAAAGCATGAGGATGTTAAATTTGATATATGCCTTTTTGTGCTTTTTGTTACATTTGTTTGTTTTTATAGTGATTAAGATGATAACACAATGTTGACTGCTGTACCCCTATTTTTGACATTTTTACCTATTGTGTCTGTTTGTTTTGTTCACGCATCGTTGTCAATATAATGGAATTTGATGCGACTGTCATACAAGTGAGAGGTTTAGCTAACTATAAAACCAGGTTCCATCCACCGTTTTCTACATAAGAAAATTCCTGTACCAAGTCAGGAATATGACAGTTGTTATCCATTCGTTTGATGTGTTTGAGCTTTTGATTTTGCCATTTCATTAGGACTTATAACTAGAAATTGACTATGAGGGTCGGTTGAAAACAAAACTTTACGACAAAAGAGATAATTTCAGCTTCCCAATTGTGACCTTTTCATTTTTAAACCAAGAGTTCCTTTTTGAAGTTTCCTCGGAGTTCAGTATTTTTGTGATTTTACTCTTTTCTGAGTTTTAGTGTGCGTATTGCTGTTTGCTGTGTATTTGTTTATTCCACACTGGCTAGAGGTATAGGGGAGGGTTGAGAGCTCGCAAAACATGTTTAACCCCGCCGCATTTCTGCATTTCAGGAGACTCTGGCCTTTGTTAGTCTTGTACGTTTTTTTTTAAATTTTAGTTCGTTTATATGTTTTGGAGTTTAGTGTGACGTCCATTTTCACTGACCTAGTACACATCTTTGTTTAGAGGCCAGCTGAAGCCCGCCTCCGTTTGCGGAATTTTACAGCATTACATTGAATTGCCAGTCACCTTCCTAGATAACATAAAAGGATAAAGATGATCAAATTGAAAACACTTTTGTTTCATTCTTTTATTTTTTTTTTAATTGTCAAGTACACACATTTCTAGTTTTTATTTTAGAATTTTAAGCTACAGTATAACACATTTCTCTATTCTAGAGAATGATATAAAATAAGGAGATGTGGTATGATTGCCAAAGTAGACAACTATCTACCAAAGACCAAATGACGTAAATAATTGCAACTATAGACTAAGTCACCGTATGTCCCCCTACATGGAGCAAAACCCATACCGCATAAAAGCTAAGAAAGGTCTTGACATGAAAAGTATATTTTAAATAAATTTTAGATAAACGAACGTTTTGAACAAAAAATGATGTAGAGTATAAAATCTAACTCGGATGTGATTTGATTGCAGTGTGTTTTTTTATTCATTAATTTTGATCACGTCGTAGATTTTTCTTGTAGTCGTTTAACAAAATAGAAAGAAAAAGGGGAACAACGATCTTAAACTTAATCGATCACTACTATGAAACAATGCAATTTTATGAATAATGATCATGTTGTTTTGCTTTATCATCGTCCGTGTATTGCGGAATAAATTGATACTATTTAATTGTTTAAAAATCATATCGGCATTATCAAACAAACCCATACAGGTAACTATAATGAATGATTATCTGTGCTTTTTGTGATGGTCCCAACTATAGCCTGTAGCAGTATTGGTATTTAACATCAGCGCCAAAATCGTATTGACTTTCCTAACACGTTTATCAACAATTAGAACATAGAATGATGTTTCTGACATATTTACAGTGTTCATCTTATACTAGTATGCACATTTTTGTATTTTGACATTACTTATTTTAGCATTCTACCATTACATTTCACCATTATCAATATTTTAAATGTTCCATCAGCCAGTCTGTACCTTTCCGGCCTTGATGTCTGGTGCAGAAATGGCTGGAATTGTCAGATATTGGGCTGATAACTATTTTATACCAATAAAAACATGTCTCAAGGTACTTGTTTACATGATGAATAATTGCATACATACTTTAAATATACTATACATTATATAGTTTACAATAAAAAAATAGCTAGAGGTTGTATTCGTTGATTGACTATGTATTTTAAAGTTGATTTTGTTAAATTAGCGTCTTCTGAGTTTAAGTGTGCATATTGCTGTTTGCTGAGTATTTGTTTAATCCACATTGGCTAGAGGTATAGGGGAGGGTTGAGATATCACAAAACATGTTTAAGTATGGTGCATTTGTGCGTCTGTCCTAAGTCAGGAACCTCAAGCCATTTTTAGTCTTATATGTTGTTTTTTTTAATTTTGGTTTATTTATATGTTTCTAAGTTCAGTGTGACGTCCATTTTCCTAAAATAGTATACATTATTGTTCAGGGGCCTTCTGAAGCTCACATCTGGTTGCAGGATTTTCTCCCCGCGTTGATTACCCATTGATGGCCTTGGGCTGTTATATACTCTTAGGTCTGGTTATTGTCTGTAAACATTCCCCGTTTCTATTCTCAATTCTATTACATAACATGTTCAGGTATATACATTGTGTCGCATTTTTATCATCAAAAACTGAAAATCAATACTTTTTATTCAAATGTTGTTTTGCGAATGCGTTAACATGTGATGCATTTTTACATTCACAAGTTACCAACTGCTTGTCTATTGAACACTTCTAGTGGAGATACAATTAGTGAGCAATAACTCACATTTCAACTCGTTTAATCTTTTAAATTCTTTGTGAAACCTGCTACGTATCTAATATTTTTATCTAAACTAACACTGGAAATTACACTATATACTTAGATTTTATCATAATCTTAGTTGAAACCTGATTGCTTCGCATAAACTCATATTGAAACGACACAGAATGCTTCGACAGACTTCAAAGTCCTTACAGCATTAAAGGGAAGAACGGCTGATCTTTACTTCATAGAAATTTACCGTGTACAGATCGGTTGGTTATATGTGTATCTTAAACTCAAGAGAAATTTACATTCCACCAGAATTCATCCTGATCAGCTACTTTTAATTCGACATGAACTGGTGTCTCTATGTTCTGTCTGTGACACACATCTACTCCCACTTAAAGACTGAATAACTTAACATGAAACTTATACTTGTCAATATATTCCTATTGCTCTTTGAATGTGATGTTTATCCGTTTATTGATTTATGGGAAGGTCCACAAATGTGTAATGTTGAATATATATCGGCATATGTATGCGTACTGTATACTTCACATAATTGTTCATTAATGTTTGTCTACTCTTTTTGTGATATCATATTTAATATGGTGTGTACAAATGAAAGGTTCTATTATTACATAGTTCCGATAAATACATTAATAATTTCAGATACAGCAGATAGTTTGACATGTGGTACGTGTAAAACAACTTATACATCAATACAATCGTTTATGCAGCACAAAATGACGCACAAGGTAAGTAAGTACACTGATTATTGTAGTGTTGAAACTGTCCGTTTCTCATTACCTGTTGCATGTTAATAAATATTACAGCGCGATATTCATTTTTTTTTAGGAATACAAACGAATTTGTTACGTTATTTACATTTCTTATTTTCTTCTCAAACAATTCCCTAGCACTTTTAGTTCCGTTTCTATGATTTTGTATTGTTGAAATTAAATTAGCGACTGAGTAACGCCTATTTTAGCAGTAAGTATTGATTTGTTTCAAACAGATCAATTAATACAAATTAATACATGTGAAAAATGCAAAGTCCTAAATCAAGCGGAAGTCCAACAAAATATATAACTTTTTTTATTATACATGTTTTTTTTTATCTTCGACTTTTTTAGTCTTCCTACACTCAATAAGAGTTACAAATTTTAACAAATGCTATTACTTCTGGATGAAATCGTTAATGCATATGGTAGGGTGACATGCTGATGCGAGTTTAGGTTAAACATATTTGATTGTTCAGAAACTAAATATACGGACGAGACACCAGTTTTACTACTCAGTGATATCTTCCCATATATATGAACAATTTCCAAATAAATGAACAGTAACAGAAATATAGAAGATAGATTAATATATACATAATATACTTTTTATAACGTTTGAAGACTTTGATAATAAAGTTGAAAATGGTTTAGGTATATCAAACTGATGCGAATAACGACTTGTGAGCTAATTTTCATCTTTTATTTTGAATTTGAGGTGTGCAGCGATTAGTGTACTCGTATATCATTACAGTCATTGAAGAGCATATGTAACAATTCCAAATGCTCTGTGAAATTAATATTCGAGGAGTAACATGTATCAACCTAAAATGTAATAGAACACTTTGAGTCTTATTGACATTTATAAGATATAAATTTTTCAAATTTTTTTCTCCATTCTATTCTACACAGAATAACAATAGATGACCTTGGTCATATATGTTCGGATGGCGGGAAATGTATGAAAATCAGAAGACGCTTATCCTGTGTCGAAGCACCCGATCTCGTTCCGTATTGGAGCTTATTTTTTGTATGATCCTGATGTTTCGTTTGCTTTATCAACTTATGAGATTTTACCTTCGCTTTACATGGTTAACTACTGTTGCATTTATTTACTATAATTTTCAATAACGTTTGAATTCAAATGTTGAGTATAACAGGTTAGTTACCTATAGTTGTTAATTTCTGTGTCATTTGGTCTCTTGTGAAAAGTTGTCTCATTGGCATACACACCACATCTTCTTTTTCATATATACCTATATAGGTTTGAACGTTGTTTTCAATTTAGACTTGTTTATATTTTTTCGTTTGGGCTTGTCTTAGATTTGCTTATGTGTTGATATGATCCGTTCATCCTATTTCGACTCTTCAACATTCGGGGGTCTATCATAAATTGAGGTAAATTATATGGCCTTCCAAATACCGTTTCGATTCCTAACATCACTGAAGAGACATTAATTGTCGAAATCCGGATATGGTGTACTAATTTTTGCACCTTTTGTTTGCGGTATACTATCTTTTCCGCAAGTTAATTGTTTTCTGTTTGGTATTAAATTTATAAATTTTAAAAGATCCATTTTGTAACATCTTGTGATCCGTTTATTTGGCAATCGCCAATGGCAGTCAGCAGGGTTTAAGAACATCTGTTGTTCGACCTGTTAGTCAAATGCGTTTTGTTAAAATATACTTTTTTACTTTTTTGGTCTTTTGGAAAATATATATATATATATATATATATATATATATTAGTCTAAATTGAAAACCTATGATTGCGTTGAATAAAAACCGCAATTTTTATACGTGTGCATGCAAAACAAATTTCTTGTTAGAGGGGTCTTAATACAGCACAAACAACATTTTCCAAAAGACCAAAAAAGTGAAAAAGTATATTTTAACAAAACGCATTTGACTAACAGGTCGAACAACAGATGTTCTTAAACCCTGCTGACTGCCATTGGCGATTGCCAAATAAACGGATCACAAGATGTTACAAAATGGATCTTTTAAAATTGATAAATTTAATACCAAACAGAAAACAATTAACTTGCGGAAAAGATAGTATACCGCAAACAAAAGGTGCAAAAATTAGTAAACCATATCCGGATTTCGACAATTAATGTCTCTTCAGTGATGTTAGGGATCGAAACGGTATTTGGAAAGCCATATAATTTACCTCCATTTGGGATAGACTCTTGAATTTTGAAGAGTCGAAATATTAGAAATAGGATGAACGGATCATATAAACCCGAAGGAAAATATAATACAAGCCCAAACGAAAAAATATAAACAAGTCTAAATTGAAAACAACATTCAAACCTATTATTGCTTTGGATAAAAACCGCAATTTTTATACGTGTGCATGCAAAACAAATTTCTTGTTAGAAGGGTCTAAATACAGCACAAACAACAATTTTCAAAAGACCAAAAAAGTATATTTTAACATAATGCATTAGACTAACAGGTCGAACAACAAATGTTCTTAAACCCTGCTGACTGCCATTGGCGATTTCCAAATAAACGGATCACCGATGTAATAAATGGATCTTAATTATAAATTTAAAACTAAACAGAAAACAATAAACTTGCGGAAATGATAGTATACCGCAAACAAAAGGTGTAAAGGTTTTTGTACACCATATCCGGATTCCGACAATTATTGTCTCTTCAGTGATGTTAGGAATCGAAACGGTATTTGGAAAGCCATACAATTTATCTCAATTTAGGATAGACTCTTGAATTTTGAGGAGTCAAAATAGGATGAACAGATCATATCAACCCGAAGGCAAATATAATACAAGCCCAAACGAAAAAATATAAACAAGTCTTAATTGAAAACAACGTTCAAACCTATGATTGCGATGGATAAAAACCGCAATTTTTATACGTGTGCATGCAAAACAAATTTCTTGTTAGAGGGGTCTAAATACAGCAAAAACAACATTTTCCAAAAGACTAAAAAAGTGAAAAAGAATATTTTAACATAACGCATTAGAATAACAGGTCAAACAGCAGATGTTCTTAAACCCTGCTGACTGCCATTGGCGATTGCCAAATAAACGGACTACAAAATGTTACAAAATTGATCTTTTAAAATTTATAAATTTAATACCAAACAGAAAACAATTAACTTGCGGAAAAGATAGTATACCGCAAACAAAAGGTGCAAAAATTAGTACACCATATCCGGATTATGACAATTAATGTCTCTTCAGTGATGTTAGGGATCGAAACGGTATTTGGAAGGCCATATAATTTACCTCAATTTGGGATAGACTCTTGAATTTTGAAGAGTCGAAATATTAGAAATAGGATGAACGGATCATATAAACCCGAAGGCAAATATAATACAAGCCCAAACGAAAAAATATAAACAAGTCTAAATTGAAAACAACGTTCAAACCTATGATTGCGTTGGATAAAAACCGCAATTTTTATACGTGTGCATGCAAAACAAATTTCTTGATAGAGGGGTCTAAATACAGCAAAAACAACATTTTCCAAAAGACCAAAAAAGTGAAAAAGTATATTTTAACAAAACGCATTTGACTAACAGGTCGAACAACAGATGTTCTTAAACCCTGCTGACTGCCATTGGCGATTTCCAAATAAATGGATCACAAGATGTTACAAAATGGATCTTTTAAAATTTATAAAATTAATACCAAACAGAAAACAATTAACTTGCGGAAAAGATAGTATACCGCAAACAAAAGGTGCAAAAATTAGTACACCATATCCGAATTTCGACAATTAATGTCTCTTCAGTGATGTTAGGGATCGAAACGATATTTGGAAGGCCATATAATTTACCTCAATTTGGGATAGACTCTTGAATAATTTTGAAGAGTCGAAATATTAGAAATAGGATACACGGATCATATAAACCCGAAGGAAAATATAATACAAGCCCAAACGAAAAAATATAAACAAGTCTAAAATCAAAACAACGTTCAAACCTATTATTGCGTTGGATAAAAACCGCAATTTTTATACGTGTGCATGCAAAACAAATTTCTTGTTAGAAGGGTATAAATACAGCACAAACAACATTTTCCAAAAGACCAAAAAAGTATATTTTAACATAACGCATTTGACTAACAGGTCGAACAACAAATGTTCTTAAACCCTGCTGACTGCCATTGGCGATTTCCAAATAAACGGATCACCGATGTAATAAATGGATCTTAATTATAAATCTAATACCAAACAGAAAACAATAAACTTGCGGAAAAGATAGTATACCGCAAACAAAAGGTACAAAGGTTTTTGTACACCATATCCGGATTTCGACAATTAATGTCTCTTCAGTGATGTTAGGAATCGAAACGGTATTTGGAAATCCATACAATTTACCTCAATTTAGGATAGACTCTTGAATTTTGAGGAGTCAAAATAGGATGAACGGATCATATAAACCCGAGGGCAAATATAATACAAGCCCAAACGAAAAAATATGAACAAGTCTTAATTGAAAACAACGTTCAAACCTATGATTGCGTTGGATAAAAACCGCAATTTTTATACGTATGCATGCAAAACAAATTTCTTGTTAGAGGGGTCTAAATACAGCAAAAACAACATTTTCCAAGAGACCAAAAAAGTGAAAAAGTATATTTTAACATAACGCATTTGACTAACAGGTCGAACAACAAATGTTTTTAAACCCTGCTGACTGCCATTGGCGATTTCCAAATAAACGGATCACCGATGTAATAAATGGATCTTAATTATAAATTTAATAATAAACAGAAAACAATGAACTTGCGAAAAAGATAGTATACCGCAATTTTTAAACGTGTGCCTGCAAAACAAATTTCTTGTTAGAGGGGTCTAAATACAGCACAAACAACATTTTCCAAAAGCCCAAAAAGGTGAATAGGAATATTTTAACAAAACGCATTTGACTTACAGGTCGAACAACAAATGTTCTTAAACCCTGCTGACTGCAATTGGCGATTGCCAAATAAACGGATCACCGATGTAATAAATGGATCTTATTTATAAATTTAATACTAAACAGAAAACAATTAACTTGCGGAAAAGATGGTATACCGCAGATAAAGGTGCAAAGATTTTTGTACACCATATCCGGATTTCGACAATTAATGTCTCTTCAGTGATGTTAGGAATCGAAACGGTATTTGGAAAGCCATACAATTTACCTCAATTTAGGATAGACTCTTGAATTGTGAGGAGTCAAAATAGGATGAACGGCTCATATAAACCCGAAGGCAAATATAATACAAGCCCAAACGAAAAAATATAAACAAGTCTAAACTGAAAACAACGTTCAAACCTATGATTGCGTTGGATAAAAACCGCAATTTTTTTACGTGTGCATGCAAAACAAATTTCTTGTTAGAGGGGTCTAAATACAGCACAAACAATATATATATATATATATATATATATATATATATATATATATATATATATATAACAAGTCTAAAAGGGAACAACATCACCAAAAAAATAATAAAGCTGATCTCAAAAACCTTACCATCACAATTATAGACCACGACGAGGGTTTGTCAAGGGCCGACAGACTCGCTCGGGAAAGGTTTTGGATAAGAAAGCTAAGGACAGTTTCCCCAGAGGGCATACATAAAAAAACATAGAATGAGTCACTCATTTTCATACCATCACTTGTTTCCAGTAACTCAGGCTTCCGTATTTGACTCTTACAGTTTTAAAGAATTTTTTAATTATACCAGTTTAAATTACAGGGTTCTATTCATCTGGGAGGGATGTTTAAGTACGCAGTCACGTTCACTTATTTAACCTTAGTCAAAATTTATTATTATTTTTTAATCATTATCAAACTGCTATCTATTTGGAATGTTTAAATACGCAGTCTCTGTTTTAATTATTCTACCGTTGTCAAATTTGAAATATTATACTAGCTTTGATCGGTCAGTGCTGTGTATTGGGAATGTATTTCCACGCCATCGTTGTTGTAACATCTTAACTGTAGTTACCTGTGAAATGTTTGAGTTGTACCAGTTCATATCGCACATTACTACTTTTATTTGAAGCATATCGTTGCAGTCTCTGTTGCAAATAGCTACATAACCTACGTCATGTTTACAAATTTTTGAATTGTACAATCGTCTCTATGATGCTCAGTTTTTACTGTTTTATTGTATAAATTTCAAGATTTTTATAGTTTTATAATCGGACTAGATTGATATGATTCATTTTACATCGTGATCATACTGATGAAGGATATCTGTTATCCGAAATATTTAACACAATTTCATTTTATCATTATTTTTTGGTGATGTTGGACCCTTTTAGACTTGTTATATGTTATATTTTGTAGTGTACTGTATCATAATTATATGATCCATCGCCCCGTAAGATTTATCGTTGGCTATTATTCAGTCATTTTATATATATATATATTGTTTTGCATGCACACATATAAAAAATGCGGTTTTTATCCAACGCAATCATAGGTTTGAACGTTGTTTTCAATTTAGACTTACATATATATATATATATAAACGTCTGAAAAGTGTACAAAACAACACCAATAACAAAAAAAAAAAGAAAACTATAAATGTAATTATTTATAAATATTTCTGACAACAGATATCCTTCATCAGTATGATTATGATAATGGATGTCACATGAATCATATCAATCTACTTTGATTAAACTATAACAATCTTGAAATTTATACAATAAAACAGTTAACTCGAACATCATAGTTTAGACGCTTGTCTGGATATCTGGATATCTGGATGATTAAGAAATAATTCATGGGGGCTTGAATATATCGTGATTTTACCACGGGTTGGCCCTTTATGACAAATATTTTACCCTGAGCGATAGCGAGGGGTAACATATCGGCATAAAGGGACAACCCGTGGTAAAATCACGATATATTCAAGCCCCCATGAATTATTTCGATTCTAATAGGACAAATACGGCAATTCTTTTGGATCGAAGCGCTCTAGGTGAAGGCATTATTTGCCGTTCCCATAAATAAACGCACTATTAAATTGACGTAAAAGAACGGAGCAAACTGAATAAATGGCATGCTTAAACTATTTACAATGACATATTTAGATAGGTTTGAATGAATCTAAATGATAATTGTATTGATATATCTTATATGGAAACAAAAAATGGCTTATATAACACATTTTAGCATCGTTTGTTTACGTTTCCTTGTTGTGATGATTTTCGGTTTCACAAGCGTGTATTTTCCCGTAAAATGCTTATATTCTTACGTCATCGTTCTATGACGTCGGGTAGCTCATTCATAAAAAAGCATATGACGCGGGAGTACGATCGGAACAGCCCAAACAATATATTCATATTTTTCCACGGGTGTGTACTCAAAGCGTTTGAAGAACGTCATGTTAGAATTGTATATATATATATGGTTTAAGAACATCAGTTGTTCGACCTGTTAGTCAAATGCGTTTTGTTAAAATATACTTTTTCACTTTTTTGGTCTTTCGGGCAATATTGTTTGTGCTGTATTTAGACCCCTCTTCCAAGAAATTTGTTTTGCATGCACACGTATAAAAATTGCGGTTTTTATCCAACGCAGTCATAGGTTTGAACGTTGTTTTCAATTTAGACTTGTTTATATTTTTTTCGTTTTGGATTGTATTATATTTGCCTTCGGGTTTATATGATCCGTTCATCCTATTTTGACTCCTCAAAATTCAAGAGTCTATCCTAAATTGAGGTAAATTGTATGGCTTTCCAAATACCGATTCAAATTTCGATTCCTAACATCACTGAAGAGACATTAATTGTCGAAATCCGAATGTGGTGTACAAATATTTGCACCTCATGTTTGCGGTATACAATCTTTTCCGCAAGTTTATTGTTTTCTTTTTGGTATTAAATTTATAATTTGTAAGATCCATTTTGTTACATCATGTGATACGTTTATTTGGCAATCGCGAATGGCAGTCAGCAAGGTTTAAGAACATCAGTTGTTCGACCTGTTACTCAAATGCGTTTTGTTAAAATATACTTTTTCACTTTTTTTGGTCTTTTGGAAAATGTTGTTTGTGCTGAATTTAGACCCCTCTACCAAGAAATTTGTTTTGCATGCACACGTATAAAAATTGTGGTTTTTATCCAACGCAATCATAGGTTTGAACGTTGTTTTCAATTTAGACTTGTTTATATTTTTTCGTTTGGGCTTGTATTATATTTGCCTTCCGGTTTATATGATCCGTTCGTCCTATTTTGACTCCTTAAAATTTCAGGGTCTATCCTAAATTGAGGTAAATTGTATGGCTTTCCAAATACCGTTTCGATTCCTAACATCACTGAAGAGACATTAATTGTCAAAATCCGGATATGGTGTACAAATGTTTGCACCTCATGTTTGCGGTATACCATCTTTTCCGCAAGTTTATTGTTTTCTGTTTAGTATTAAATTTATAATTAAGATCCATTTATAACATCAGTGATCCGATTTTTTGGCAATCGCCAATGGCAGTCAGCAGGGTTTAAGAACAATTGTTGTTTGACCTGTTAGTCAAATGCGTTTTGTTAAAATTGCTTTTTCACTTTTTTGGTCTTTTATTATACGTCTGAACCAGGGACAACTCTACGATACATGTTATCCATCGGATCACCAGTGATGGTGATACAAGGCTGAAAACACATTCTGTATATATAATTCGTCTAAATAACAGCCCAACAATGTTATATATATAACACGTATAATGGCATAACAGCTAAACTTAACAATGTCGCAGATATGATTTTTCAAGTCATATCTTGGGAGACGAACTTATAACTATATTTTTACATACATCGACGACCATAAAGACAGAAGTGCTGACCACTACTCCTGATCTAATTCTCTTTTCACAAAATCTATAATATATAAACATATATAGCAATAATGCTGTTTTCATTTATTTTTCAGCCAAAGCAAAAAGAAGGTAAGACGACCACTCAGTTAAAAGGAAGTTGTTAAAAGCATTATCTACTTACTTCCGTTTTATAAGATGACTTTTTTTAAGAGAAATAGACCTTAAATACAGAGTGTTGCGTAGTTTTGATTTTGTTTAACCTTTAAATATCTCGCAAACTATATGAGATATGTAGGAGGTGTAAATAGAAAAAATGATCCGCAATTCAAGATATAAACTATTGCAAAGCAACCGAAACAATTTGTTCGCTCGTTATGGAATTACAGCCTTCAAGGATGGTGTTTGACTAGTTTACGAATCCGTTGTATACATTTTTTAAATATCTTTTCTGCTGAAATTGTTTAAACATTTTCAACAAATATTTTGTTGAATAATCATTGAATGATCGCTACGTTATTTTATCAAAGGTTTGTATTCCTCCTTGGTCAGATAACAAACAGTAATTTTGCTACACATTTTTGTCAATATAATGGAATTACATGTGATAGTCATTCAAGTGAGAGGTTAAGTTAGCTCTAAAAGTAGGTTTAATCCATCATTTACTACCTAAAAAATGCCTGCTCCAAGTCAAGAATATGACAGTTGTTTTCCTTTCGTTTGGTGTGTTTGAGCTTTTGATTTTCCGTTTTTAATTTTCCTTGTAGTTCTGTATTGAACGATCTATATCTTGTAAACTATAACAGAGAGTCAAAAGTCAGGCAAGGGCAAACATGTCTGCTAACTTACAATTTTTATTAAAATTGTCAGTATGACGATTTCATAATGTGTAGTTGCCTTTAACATGTTTAAGTGATGATTTTGGCAATTTTGGTTTTTATCTCAAAAACTATAACAGATTGAACATTGTAGAAAGAGATTTTAAACAATCAGATGACTCCATCAGGAATTATAGCCTGAAACAAAAGATCTTCCTCTTTGAACTATATAGCCAATTTCTTATTGTGAACTATCCTTCTGGTACTTTATAAATTTCATGCAACCGATGTATTTTTCTGTATCGACCGTCATCGGAAACGCTTTTTGCAAACGAAGAATGTATAATAACTGAAACAGTTATTGAGCTGTATAAAGGGCATAAAAAAATTCCAAAATCTATATAATCTCAACTTTGCTTAAAGGAATCGAAATCATAGATTCTTGATAATTTCAAAATTGAAATATTAAAGGTGGTAAAATTTTTTGGCAGCCTTACCAGGTTAGCGACCAGGTTCATAGGAGCCTTTAATTTCAATCTACAAATATTAATTGGATCGATATACTTAGTATGATGCTCAGGACGCAAATCTATATAGTGTTTATATCATTAGAACGAGAAAAAATTTGAAAAGTACAGTGGGAAATCTAGTGAACGAAAACAAAAGAAAATTAACACTTCTTGTGATAGAGTCGAGAAGGTCAATAATAAAATAATGCCGGTGACGTTACTGATCAAAAGTTATTTCTTACATGTAATATAGCATATGATAAAGAAATTATTTGTTTAACTGTATTATTAGAAATATACATGCAAATACACGATGTTTCATGTGCAGTATTTATCGAGATAATATCATTAGAAGCTTGTGAAATTTAATTTTTAAAAAATGCAAATCTTTGCTGCATATTGATAAAAAAAAATGGAAAAAAATCATATACATACAACATCTAAAGATCTTTTGGGTCCTGAATTTTCGAAGTGTTCCACAAAGCCCTTACCATGTTAAAATTTCCCAAACTATACCTATTTTTTTTACACCTAAGTTATCGAGCAAACCGGTCTGCTTTTGTCACAATTATATTCAATAGAGAAATATTATCTTTTCGTGAATATAATCGTTTAAAAGTCGGTCTGTGCAGGTTGAGAAATTAAAGATAACTATTCTTATAAAGCAAGTATCTTTCTACTATATTTTTATATAATTTTAAGAAAAGCTCGTCTCGATTTTTGTACATGTATTTGCGGTCTTCTCGATCTATTCATATTCAATGTTTACATCTATATAATTTACTTTTGAAATTGCCTAGTAACTTAATTTCAAAAGTGCCTATCTTTGCTGAAATCAATCGATTCCTTTGGAATTTTTTCTCTGACCTTCTCTGATCTAGCTCTATATATATGCGCATAATTTGCATGTTCCAAAGAGGTTTACAGCCAGTAGAAAAATACATTGAAGTTAGTACTCCAGGAATTTATTCGCATAGCAACATTTTAAACCAACTTCACATCAACATTCTATAGCCTACTGTACTCGTCGTTTGCTACTTAAGGAGTGAAATGATAGCATTAAATGAACGTTTTGCTTTTAATTCAACTTATTTCTATTTCAACTATTTACCAGAACGTTTTCCTGTAAATCCATGATTAATAGCGTCCTTGCTAAAATGGGACAAACGGTTGAAGATCTAGTTATCAGTGTTTACAGGGGAGGAAATATTTTGTCATTTGATTTCCTTCTGAGTACAATCAAAATTTCCTTAGGTTATTTAGCTGTTCTGTTTCGTTTAAATCATACTATATTCAAAAGTAACAATATCTTATTACAGTCGTGGTAATAAAAATAACAATTGAGGGTCTGCCAGATGATCTAGTTAAAAAATGTATTGAATTGCGCATACCAAAGGGGATTTCCTTAAAAGATGCAAAGATACTTGATGAAGCTTGGGGTAGTCTGATTATTTGGACACAAATGTCAACTGCAGCCTTCAAATCAAAGGACGTGTTCTTCACAGCTATAGAAAAGATATTAAAAGAAATATTCAGCAAATCACCTGTGGATATAAATAGAGCTGCAGATGTAACACTAGATATAGCGATTGAGGACGATGGTAAGATTTATCTTTGTTTTCAACTTTGCGTTTATTGAAAAAGAAAAAAATATACATAAGAGAAAACACTAACGTAAAAGCTTCGATTTTGTGCCAATTATAATTATATGTTGGAAAAATGATTATTATTAGTCAGCGACTGTATCATATGTATATACAAGTTTCTTTAAGTTATTAGCCTATAATCAGTAACAAACTAAGCATTGACTTGCTGGTCCTACTTGACACTTTAAATTACACAAATGAAACATATAAAAAAAAGATTCGTATGTATTGTATATGGAAGCTTGTTATCTAAAAATACAATAATAATACTGAAAAACATTCCAAAACGATCATCTGCATGGAGTTGGTTTTAGTGATCTCTAACTTTAGGTAAAGGTGTGTAATATTCTGAAAATTAGCTCTCGAAAGGGTGTTCAGGTCCCCGTAGACCGCATATATTTATGCTTTCATTATCACAGACGTGAACATAATCCTTATATAAAAAAATATACAGAAACTCGTTGACCATGTGGTTTTCTATTTTTGATATCCTAATGAAATTTTAATGATGCAATCGCTCGTAATTGAAAAAAGAGAAAAACAATCACGCTAAATATATACACAATCACACTGTAGTTAACATCATATATTCGGTACTTGATATGACATGATTATGAAACGTCAGTGTGTTTTTTGTCTACATGGGTATAGAAAGAGAATGAAATATTCGTGCTATTTTCTTCCACAGACTTTACATGCTATATGTGAAATCATTTTTTCACTTTCAGACTACGAAAATGACGAGGATGACATTTTTCGGTGTGGTGTATGCTCTAAAGAATTCTGTGTGCTTGAAGCATTTCAAAGACACAAACTACGCATTTGTAGACAACGAACTACTGTTTCGGGTAAAAAAAATACGGCATAAATACATGAAATGCGTGGAATGCGCCATGAGTTTCACCTTCCTTTACATAGACTGTATTCTGGTGCTACTTTATAAAGAATGGAGTTGGTCTCTGATTATTATTAGGCTACTTGACAAGCATGTTAGATAACATATAATGATAACACATTATATTTCTGCTCATTAAAAATAAAAAACCAACTAAATTTTGAAAGCCTTTGGTCAACTTTGAAAAGTTTGAACCAAAGTTTTTTTTAATAATATCAAACAAATGTTATTCATCAATCATTTCTCAATTTACTGCTGAAAAAAACGTTATATGCTCGACATAAAAACATTCTAAGAGCATATTGAATATGAAAAAACGACATAAGGACAAACAACATCATACAAATCAAAACTTAGAAAACAAAAGACTTCACACCACGAACCCCATCAGAAACAAGCAGATCCTCCAGCACATGCCATCCGTCGTTTCCATAAATCAAAAATCAAAAATCAAACTCAATTTCCAAAATCGTTAAAGGTGTGATACCACCAAATCACATTGTACGCCACATCCGATTGCATACGAAAAAGGGCTGAAAAAATATTCCTGAGAATTTGATAGTTGTAGGAAATTAATCCTACATTTCATTGCAGTAAAATATGTCTGTGTCATAGACATATATCTTGGTTGTTTCAAAGCACCATTATTTTTCTATTTGGTGTTTCTATAGAATACTTTGGAAACCTGAGGATACATGGTTACTAAAGCTTGTACACAGGAAGAAAAAGGGTGAAAATTTAATTGGTTAACTGCCAGTGATGGTTTTTTTTCTTATATGCAATGAAACGTTATTTAAAATTTTGTCTATAGTACTGGACAGGATAAAACTTTAATCATATTAAGTATCTCTTTATTTGAAAAAAAGATAGATTCCGCACAATTTTTTGAAAAGTGCAAATTTAACAAAGACTAATAGGTAAAATCAATGGTGGTAATAGAGATTTCCAATAAAATGACATTACTCGACATAACCGACCTATCTCACCGTATCTCGGCCTGTTGCAGTGAAGGACGACAGAAGGGAGCATAGACTGCATGAATTGTTGGCTCGTTGAATACACATACTTTGTTGGAATAAATGTTATTCAAAAATTAGCACAAACTACTATTTTAATTGTTTACATATTTTGTTATTGAATTTGGGGTGATTTCGTTGACAACAACATTAAAGGGAATAATTAGTTTAGTTACCGGTAATCAAATTCACCGATCATTACTTCGTCTATCATTTGACCCATATATTTTTCTCTCAAAAGATGAATTCTTAAAGCTCATAAATCAAAATTAAGTTTGAACAAATAAAAATAATGGAATCTGAAGCGTGATCATATTCTCATTTTTAAGTAATAAGAAGAGTTTCAAACACGCCGGAATGTCAAAGGTGTACACGACTTGCCTCTTCTTCTGTTTTAGCATACTTCTATAATTTACTTCAAGATACTTTTGTCGAAGGTAAAAAATCAGATGACTGATGTATCTTTCTAATAGTACTGTGTCACCTTCCGTAGTATTTTATCAAATGGAATTTATGAGGACGCATCTGCAGGAAAAAATATGATTACACTTTACTGAATCAGTTAATTTGTTTATATCTTGTCTTTTATTATTATGCTGCATGGATTCTAGGAAGAGCCCGTACAAACGTAGGTGTAATCTAACGTCAAAGTTCTTAAACTGTTTTTTTCTAAAATATTTGGCGGACATGTTCGGACTGTTTAATTGAATTTTTTTTAAGTAAGATGACCTTTTTGAGTTTCATGACCAACTTATGATAGCATGGGAATATTATATTTACTGGTCTGTGCATCCTTCCGTTCTTCCGTTCTATTCAAAATATAAAACCTTTAAAATTATATACCAACTATTAGTTTGACCCAGATTAAGTGGTGCACTGAACATGGAAATATTATCATGTGAAGGGGCACGGTGTCTTAAGGCCACACATTCTTGTTGCAAAAGTTCTGATTAATAAACGTTCATGTATATATGTCTTTCAGACTCATAACTGTCTCTTTTGTAGCGCGCTCGTCTCTACAGTAACCTCTCAAAGGTGATCAAGGGAATAGAAATATGGTCACTATTGGTCTTGTTCAGTTTAACCATTGCCAAAATGGAGAGTCCGTTTAGATGAGAGGGATGTACAAGTACGCAGGCCCGTCCGTTCAGAGTGGGGATGTTAAAACCGAGGCCTCTTTTAGATACAATGTCACGATCTCTACATGTTAATTATGCATGAAATATTTGCCATTGGACGTTAAGCAACCAACTGTCAACCAATCGACAGTAGCGTAACTTGAATTTTATTTCTGGTGAGGCAAATGATTTGAATCTTGGCAGTTAAAGCGTCACCTTGGTTTGAAGACGTCAATACCAGTAGGGAGTAGATGGTTAATTGAAAAAAAATGAATCGTAAAATAGATGTAGGTGATCATACTCTTGATAGGTCACATAATGGTAAAAAGACTCTGTCTATGAAAAATCCAGATTTGTAGAATTCTATCATGAAATAATATTTCTAGTACGCATTTAATCAATATATTTTAATGAGACTTCTGGTTACAGGCTTAAATCTCGGTATTCAGTTAGGTATTAGAATTCAGATAGGTTCCTGATAAAAAAAATGACAGAATTATATGTATGACCTCCTCTAAAATGCTTTTGTACAAATTTGGGGATATGAAGTCTAAGATCCACTATGTCTCTTAACTTATACGTTTAGCTTTTGTCAACATGTATGGATGATAATAACTGGGAGAACTATTAAGTCTTGTTTATATTAAACAAGGTAGAAGAGTGTTACATAAAATGTAGGAATGCCAAGTGTCTGTTGAAAACTTTGCCCACCAAAAGTAACAAGTTCGTTGTCAAAAAAAAACCAAGCATCATATTAGTTTCACGGGTATAACCTCTTGTTTGGATCAGTTTTTTGCAAATTATACTTTGTTTGTTACTTAAAAAAGATATTTGTATCTACCTTGTACATTTCAAATTGCATCTTGGATCCGCATCTGGCAACAAAATCTTATTATTTTATGTTGTTCAATGTAACTTACCCTACACATTTCCGTTAATGATTTACTCATTAAAATGAATTCGGTGACCCACTTTTAGTTGTTTATCAATAAAATGGATAAAATACTCTAAGTTAGTTTACTTCAAGGGATATCAAATATATTCCCTGGAAATATCTTTTGTATTTGGATTCCGATAGCATTTAAACACATTAATACAGAATAATCCTTAATCGAACACACCTTAATTCTAAAAAAAAACATATATAGGGATTTCTTTATCGATACATTTTATAATAAATGAAAAATACTTTTGTTTATAAATTAAATGGAAGCAATAGTTTTATCTGAATTTTCAACCTTTATAAAGAGACAGATTCTGACAAATTCTGCTTTCGATATTTCTAAAATTGTCAGAAACATATCCTTCTTAAAATTTTCCCCGCAACAAATATAATAAAAAGATAGATAAACTATAAAGAAAGACAGAAAAAAAATATAATGGGGCGTTCAACTACAAAGTATATTGAAAAATAATAGTCATAATCAAAACCATGAAAGATAACTCGAATCGTACATGTACGTATGATAGGTATAGGATACGTGTGTTAATACGTGATTTTATGTCAGTAAAATAAAGAAGGGAATCTGGAAAACCACGTGATAAATAAAAATGCAATATTTCTATCATTTTTCGTCCTGATAATTTTTTTCTATATGGTCGAAAATTCCAGTGTGTGATTTTCAAAGTCTTGGAATACTTTGTTTTAACTTACGCGACGTATTTAATCAAATTCGATGGTTGGCAATAACCCGTCCCATTAGGTCCGTACGTCGAGTTACGTACGTATGTCATTTTATTGGAAATCTCTAGTACACCTTAAACAATGACAGGAATATGTATATCATTCGTATAGCATGTAGCAAAGAATACGCTACTGAAATTATATGAAAAAGAGTTTGTTTATATATTATATGTTAACATAAAGTATTGAATAAGTTCAAACGACATGTGTCACATTTTACAAATGACGTTATGTTAACTAAAAACCATTTTCACAGTTAATTCTTTATCCTTTATATAAAAAAAAAATCCTCTATATTCTTTGAATAAGTTTCAGATTATTGTGATGTTATTGAATACACCATGGATGCATTCCCTAGATTGCGAGAACATCAACAAAATTTGAATGCATGCGTGCAGATGGACGAAATTGGGAACGAGCTTCTAAAGTTTTTAGCGCAATATCCATGTGCATTATTTTATTGTGGGAATGTTGAAAAGCAAATGAATGTGTTTTATCAACGGAATCTCCGAAAAACACAGAAAACCACGTTGTCACCAGAATTAAACACAGCTGACGGAACCAGTATGCCAAATGTTTTTCTGTGTGTTTTGACAGGGGAATATGGTCATCTATCGAGCATTGTGAGTAAATCTCTCTATCTCTATTTTCTCCGTCTTCTGAATGTTCTGTATATCTGTATGCGATATTTCAATTATAAAGCAGACTGATGTAAATAAAGGCAACAGTATTATACCGCTGTTTAAAAGTCAGAAATCGATTGAGAGAAAACAAATCCGGGTTACAAACTAAAACCGAGGGAAACACATCAACTATAAGATGAAAACAGAGGAACAATAGGAACACTGAAGTGAAACAAAACAAACGCCAGCATACATAGAAACGAACTATTTCATAACAACTGCCATATTCCTGATCTGGTACAGGACAATTTAAAAAAAGAATGGTGGGTTGAACTCGGTGTCATACAATTAAGAGGTTTAGCTAGCTATAAAAGCAGGTTTAATCCACAAATTTCTACATAAGAAAATGACTGTACCAAGTCAGGAATATGACAGTTGTTATCCACTCGTTTGATGTGTTTGAGCTTTTGATTTTGCCATTTGTTTACGGACTTTACGTTTTGAATTTTCCTAGGAGTTCGGTATTTTTGTTATTTTTCTTTTTGAACATGGTTTAATGGTTAGCCAAACCTCCCGCTCATATGGCAATGTTAAAAAATATCGCTAAATTGACAACACTACGTGAAAGGAATACACTAAATAAAACTCGCAAGGTAAACAGTAAGTTTACATGGATTAAGATAGTCAAAACGATAATAAATATTATAACGTTGAGGTAAGTCAATACGTTAGTATAAGTCCATTTCAAATATGCATACCTAATATTTTATATCTGACTATGTGGTATGGGCTTTGTTCATTATTGAAGGCCGTACGGTGACATATAGTTGTGTCATTTGGTCTCTTGTGAAGAGTTGTCTCATTGGAAATCATATCACATATTCTTTTTTATACCTGTTTTACTGGTTGAAAACACCGCTTTTGCGAATTATGCTTGTATAACAGACCATATGGACATCTTTGAAATTAAGTTTTCAGTAAATTATAATTTTTCAGGACACTGCATGTCTTCAAAAAGTCAAAAAAGAGTTGTCTGATCATTGGATTGACAAGGCATTGTTCGTGGTAACTGCAACATCGTTTTCTGGATCCCTGAGAAATTTTAACACACTTAGTTATGAAATCGGTAAAGAACTCGGTATTGATATGAAAACTTTAACCTTTCGTATTTTCAAAGACAAAGATGAAGACATATTTGAAAGAATGTCCCTCTACTTTGAGCAAGAGCTTGTAGAAAAACGATATGATTTGAGTCGACATCTACAATCCCTTGGATCTGATATTACATTGGCTCTACAGCATACGTTATCTCCATCGTTTACGGAAAGACTTAAACGAATCTTACTGGCAGGACCTTTGGGAGTGAGCCTTCTTGATAAATTGAAGGATGCTTCAAGGTCATATGAATGGGAGAAAGAATCATTCACTCGAAACAAAGCAACTGTTACAGAAGCAGCAGACAAAATCGCCAGATTTGCATGCGAAACATTAGGGAGAGAGATAGTTGAAACCTTAATCCGTCATTTCACTCGTGAAATGCTTTCTAGCAATCAGGATTTCTCTATTGCAATATTCAGGTACATCAATCTAAAAGACATCGGCTCAACAGTTCTGAAAGATCTTTTGATTGCCTTATTCAGCTTGTTTTTTGGTCCAGTTGGATGGCTTATAAGTGCAATAATAATCTTTTTCTCAGGAACTGAGATCAACAGTATATCTTTCAGAGATGAAGTTGCTTGTAAAATGATAACCCAGATACACCAAAATAAAGATAAAATAATACAAGAAGTAGTCAAAAAGTTCCGTTCTGATGTAATACCAAGATTTAAGGCGATCCAAATAGCTCTGGAAAACTCTGACATAGAACTACGTCGAATTTTTGGTGAAAAGGAACATTTGATCAGAAAGGAGAGTATAGAACATGAATTCCAAACAATTGCTGGAAAGTAAGTTAAGCAGTACTACTTTTATGTTACCTTTTTGTTATAGAGATTAGTAAATGTTTTAAAATGCAGTGTGGCCTTCAAAAACTACATTTTTTTCAACATCATTACCTTTATCATTATTCAACGAAGATTCTAAGGAAATAGGTTGGGTACTAGCGTAGATTAATTGTTATTTTTTGGATACAAATTTACGTGGATTTCAAATGTAAAGGCAAACCACTAATTGAATTGTTCAACAAATTAAAAATTGTGTATGCGTTTGTATGCACACTTTGGCAATTTTCCGCAATCCATGCAAATTGGTACCCACGAAAATAAATGAATCTACAGTATTAAATTATCTATATATATATATATATATATATATATATATATATATATATATATATATATATATATATATATATATATATATATAAAGAAAAGTTAAGTAGATTCCGTATGCTGGTAACATATAAGAAAATTAATAACAGATAATAACGGTTTCAATTCATCACTTTCACTAGCGCTTTCACTGCTTTTACAGATCTTCAGGTAATGTGACTTGTATACATAAGTGTTAATTTTACATTCAAGGAGGAAGTATTTTTCCTCCTCCGGCAAGTGGCACGGTTTACATATTCTATCCTTTCTAGGAATGTTATAAAGCGACCCTTTTCTATTTCTAATTTATGGTCACTAATTCTTAACTTAGTGAAGCATTTTCTTATAGAAAAGTCATTGGAAGCTAAATAAATTTCCCTATCCAAGCTAAGTTATAAATTTTTATAAAGTAACAGTTTACTATTTTCATTATAACTAGTTATTCTATTCTCAAAAATATTTTTTATATTTTTCTTTAAATTGATTTTTAATCAAGGGCTTTAAAGAGTTTCTTTAATTCAAGTCTCTACAATTGTTAAATTTATCTAAGAGGTCTGGGTTGGGTGAACTATTCTTGGCATACGTATACCAAGATTAAGTACCATACAAGTCCAGCAGTTTGGACAATATAAATGTTTCTTTAAGTAAAGGATTTATATATTCAGAATTCAGCCTTGCTAGGTAAGATAGAGACTGTGAAAAAAATTAAATGTTCAAAGGGAAGTCTATCTAACATGTCTAGTTCGGACTGCTATATTAGAAACGTTTTTCTGGTGCCCTGAATTCTATCAATGTATTCCCTTAAGAACATTCAAATACTGTTTGAACCGTTTCGCATAAGGTGATTGTCTTATCATTAGCACATTATTTTTTTTCTAAACATTGAGATACCAACCTTACTTTGTCAATGATGTGCACAAAAATGAAAATTGCTTAGTAGGTAGCATATTCTCCGACTGATCACTGTCTGTGTTGATCAATTTGTCTTTACTGTTACTCCTTCTTCAAGATTTAAATAGGTGTCACAGTGAAGATGACAACTCTATGTAAAATGATAACCGAAATAATAATGAAATATGTATCTTGGAAGTATATTTTAATTTCCAGACGCAAACGTTACGAATCAAAGTTTGTGTCAAAGTTTCAGGAATTAATCATAAGTGGATCTAATCTGCAGTGTATCCTTTGATTTGAACACGATTTGGTACCAAAAAATACAAGTAAATGCATAACAAAGTACAATACGTGTATGTTTCACACTGGTTTACAGTGTTAGTTATAACACGGCAAATATGTTATCAATGGTTTGCTCTTTGTGACTCAAGTTGTAGTACCTTTATATACAATGCAACTAAAAATGTCGAAATGTCGAATTTTGATTGTATTCCAATGAAATCCGATTTTGCACTCAGTTTATGATAATACTTAAAATAATTTAATCGTAAACTTTTAATTTGTCGTTGCAGAAACGAACTAATTAGAAATTTCAAATTTGAAGATGATACATTGAAGATATATGCTAGTGGTGATGAGAAAAACTACGCAGATGTCAAAGAGTTTGTGGATACATATTTCCGACCTGACGTAAGGACGCAAGTAATCATGGATTAAAATACTGAAGGAATCTAACATATCCAGAGCTATCATGTTATGTGTTTGAACTTTCATATTTTTGTTCAAAATTTAAAAATAACAAATACATAATTTGTTGTAATGATTGATAGACTTAAATCTATAAGTATTTTTGTTTTCTGTATGATTGCCGCTTCAGTTTTAGCTGGTCCGGATTAGATCAAAAGGTGTCTTTACCATTTATTGTCTTACAGGTAAAGAATTATTTCAAACTCATTTTAATGAATGCAATGCAGCGGTCGATCTTAAGACTTTCAGAGTAAACGACGTTATTGAACAATCTGTTCTTACTGTGACGCAATAACATAAACTGATAAAATCAGAAATATGTAGGAGATGCACAAATAAAAATGTGATCAATTATTTGATGTAGATATATATAAGATGCATGCCCGCTGAAGCTTGTTTGTCTAGCAAAATATTGCGTTTATTTTTTATCGCATTGTCAATATATCTTTTATATTCTAATATTCACATACTTGATTATGTGTTAAAATCACATTGTTAGACATTCATATACTGAAGGGAGTGAGGAAAAGGAAGATTTTGAATATGAATATAGTCTATTGGATAGATAGAAGCATAAAATTGATACGGATATTCTTCAAAACAAAATTGAGGATATATTTTTTTTTAATTTGATATAGTTTATGAATTTTCTAATGTTTGTATTACACGTATTAAATATACTTAGATGGTATAGTATGCCATTTCCTCGTCCTTGTAAATATGTTACATCGATTCTTTTATATTGATTTTCGACTTCAACAGAATTTATTAAAACTCTTGTTGGGACTAAATTTGTATGATTTGTTTCTGGTCAAATGAGTTGTCACAATTTACATAGGCAGTTTGAACTAATTTAAGGTATTTTATTTTGAAAATCAATCTCATATTGTTATCATTATGTAATGTATCTGTAAGTTTTCTTTTCATTGCGTTCGCCCGTTTTCTTTCATCCATTGGTACCTTCCGTACCAAAAAAACTGTTTCTGATGAAGTTTATTTCGAATGATGTTGTTGGCAATTTACTTTAAAAATTAGTACCCGTGTTTATTGTGTCTTGAACTTTTAACAGTTATGTGCGAAATACCGCCGTTGATTCAAATGTCTCAGGTGAACATCAACCAGCAAACTAAAAAGGTGTTTGTTTGTCTTAATATGTCACTTCTCTAAATGTATCAATACAAACCGCTGGTGGAATATAAAAAAAGGGCGAACAACACGACCACGGAATCTGCTGAAACGACTGTGCTGACGTATCGGAACCGTGACTGTTTATGTTGAGTGTTGTAAGGCAAGCGCCGTGAATTTTGCACACAGATGTATCAACAATGAAAAGTCAAAGCACCTTATTAAAACTACGAACCTTCTGAAATGTGCCATTTACATTCTACAATGGTCCTATGGGGCCTAAAATATGTAGTTGAATGAAAACAATCGTTACTGAAACGCATCTACGTGCACGTGAACTACGTTAAGGAAGTAACTGAGCCAACATGTCAAACACTCGAAAAAATGTCGACACTGACGAAATATAATTGCTGTACCAACACTTTTCCACCATATTGGTAATCCTTATATGTTCAACATTATTTTTTTGTAATTTGTTTATTGTCAATAATGAAACATGTGAAGTTACATACTACAGTATTAAACACAAATTATACTTATAAGTAACACTTGTTAGATTGATCAAGTCAGAACGGTATAATAACATGAATCAGAAATACATGCATTACAAATGATTTGGTAAATTAAATGCTGTATCTAGCAATTGCCATTTCTGATCTATTTCTACTTTTTATATCTACAGTATTAATGTATTTTTGTAGTAATTGTTGTTTGCATAGAGTTTTATTTATGATTTCGATAAAAACGTCCCATTTCCTGATATTATGTAAACAACTTCAGATGACCGTATAACTTATGCAATACCGTGTTGTATGTTATAAAAACCTTCAGGATAACAAATTAAAACAAATTCGTGTACATTTAAACTAATATCTAGGTTTTATTCTTATTGTGTGTTGCTCAATCATGAGTGTGATGTGTAGTGTTTTGTGGACAGCCTGTCTTGCATTACTACTTGTCATGCAGTATGATTCTTCGACTTGCTGTTTAAAACCTCTTGTTTTTACCGTTTTACATTTTCCATGTGATTATTGTTATTTACCAGAATTTCTGTCGTTTTGCATATTGAATACTACACGTTTTACTATTAGACAATTTGTTTTTAGGAAAATAGAATTTTTTTAAAACTAATATATTCACTCGCAAATCAGTACATTTAGCTGAAAGTTGGTTACTGCCTTTGATTCCGAAAGGCCTTGAAGCCATTATAACAGTTTTATTTACGTAGAACTCATCTTAGCGACCGATAAGTTTCAATTTGATTACAAAATGGAAACGAAGATCAGTTTGTAATATATTATGGGCTTGTCATTTTTAGCTATAAGACATTTGACCACCTAGAAAAACAATATTATTTAATTCAGGACAAAATCTGATATGAACATAGGTTTAAAGATCTGAGTCATTTGTTGCATTTGCTGATTTGTGTTTGAATGATCTAACTGTGTGTTAGTAACACTAGCATGTTTGAGGAAATACTTTCAGACATAATGTGAATTTTTTTCTATTAATCATATCTTTGTAAACCCCATTTGCATACATGTACCACTCGATTGTTATCACATGTTCGCTATTGTATATGCATAACTATAAACGTGAATTTTTACCTTTAACATATTATGTATTTGTCAACACATACCAGATATTTATCATGTATATTGATTGAACTATGCTGTGCTGTTTGATTTATCCAAATATACATGGAACCCGAATATCTTAAATGTAGATTAAAAAAAGGAGCAAAAGTATATTGAATGTTTTGGAAACACAGCTCAATAAATTTGATTTGAAAAATAGAACTATGTTGTTTGGAAATGTCGTCGTGCAAGGATTAAAATACTTTCTGAGCTAATTTTAACTCAGAAACCATGAATGGTAGTAGCAGTAAAACTAAATTTTATTTTTAAAATTTATTTCAATAGGCAAGTGTGTCGATGTTGAAAATTACCAGATAAAAGATTTATGTATGTATTTGGGTGTGTAAGGTCATTTTAGTTATCAAAAGACGAAAACCCTGTTCTGTATATTTTGATTAGTTTTTACTTTGCGGGCCTTCTCCTTTTTTTATAAATTACTTGAGCCTTTATTTTTTTTTTTTTCGTTTTTCGTCCGCCCATCGTCTATCATAAAACAACTAAACAATCTTAAATTTTTTTTAACTACAAAATCCAAAATCCTTCAAAAAAAGTACAACAAAAAACTACTTTATCAAAAGTTTACAACTTTGGCCACCTAAAATTCCCCGGCTGGTGCATGTGTTATAACTAATTGGGTCAAATAATCGGGACTATGAGAGTAAACATTTTACACGTGTTACGCACCAAATATACTTAAATTTATAAATACCCACTGAGGTCACTAAAATAAGTTCACATAGATTAAAAAAAATTAAAAAAACTATGTCTTTTGAAGTTTCAGTTCCTAGAATTCTGTTGGTTTATTTGACAATTACAACAACTGGTTCACGGAACCTCACGTACTTGTTATCTGCTTGCTATATATTGTGATGTTTTCTGAATAATAAAAAATACACTTTTTTAAATTTGTATTCACTGTCACATTACACAATCTACAATATTATTAAGGTTGTAAACAACTACAGACCATCGTAAGACCTCCAACATTGCACAACACACGTATTACACTGTAGCAAGCTATAAAAGCCTCGGATGACAAAGTCTGATATAACCCAAAGGAGATAAGCAACCGTCTGGCGTATTACAATACAATACAAACATTAAGACAAAACATCTGTATAAACATTGGTTAATTTTTTTTTCAAATGGTCCCATTTTGCCAAAAATGCAAGTAAAGTGTATAACAATACCAAGTGGTTATGCCATACTCATAGTTTATCAGTGAATGCACAATTGAGATTTTTACAAACGTTCTCAAATTTTCACCTAGGTTTTCGGCGTAAATGAAGATAACAGTAGTATACCACTGTCCAAAAGTCATAAATCGATTTAGAGAAAACAAATCCGGGTTACAAACTAAAATCGATGGGAATACATCAACTATAAGAGGAAAAATAAGGAACAACAGGAACACCGATGTGCAACAAAAACAAACGCCAACATACATACAAACGAACTAATTGATAACAACTGCCATATTCCTGACTTGGTTCTGGACATTTTAAGAAAAATGGTGCGTTGAACCAGGTTTTATGGCTAGCCAAACCTCCGGCTTATCTGGCAATGCAAAAAATATCGCTAAAATGACAACACTACGTGACAGAAATACAACACAAACACACGCAAGAACAGTTATCACAGAGAAACGCACAAACAAATAATCTAATAGTCGACACAACATGCAAACCGCATAACAGCAACACACATCCTTACATCAACGACAGAATATCACAAACAGTGACGCACTAATGTAACGAATATGTAACCTTGAACTTCATACATTATTACAATACCGACCCAAACAATTATCAAGACAATGACGGGATTGAAAGGATGTTTTGTAATTATTTGGACTACAAGCGATAAGACATAACACATTATCCAACCGAAACCACAACAGAAACATAAAAAATAAATACATCCTTTGCATGGCCTTTGTAAGTCTTGTATCATTTTTAATTTTAGTTTCCTGTGTATAATTTGGAGTTTAGTATGACGTCCATTATCACTGAACTATTATACATATTTGTTTAGGGGTCAGCTGAAGGACGCCCCCGGGTGCGGGAGTTTCTCGCTGCATTGAAGACCCATTGGTGGCCTTCGGTTGTTATGTGCTCTATGGTCGGGTTGTTGTCTCTTTGACACTTTCCCCATTTCCATTCTCAATTTTATCGTAAAGATGTCAAAAGTGCAGTGCAGTTTACCACAAATGTGCAGACTTAAACACAGGTGTGTCTGTGGGAATATAGAGTACATGCAAGTACAACTTATATGTATTTGAGATGTGACAAACATTATGGTAAATGATTCTATTGAATTGCATTTTCTAATTTTTTTGCTTATCCAAAAACTTTTTGAACACGTAAGTATTTTTTACGGAAACACCTTATCAGATATTTCCGTGGAGTTTCAATAAAAAACTGCATACAATATGATGACAAAGATCGAAAACTACATTTTTTAGCCCATCTGGCCCAATTGGGCAAATCGGCTTTTCTTATCATTTGGCATTCTTCGTCCGTCATCGTCGTCATCGTCCATTAACTTTTACAAACATATTCTCCTCTGAAACTACTAGGCCAAATTCAAGCAAACTTGGCCACAATCATTATTAGGATATCTAGTCTAACAAATGTGTCCGATGACCCCGCTTGTTAACCAACATGGCAGCCATGGCTACAAATAGAACATAGGGTTAAAATGCCAGTTTTGTCTATTATTTTGAAAACAGTTCTGACTGCTCAGAGTATTGAGCTCTACCTTTTGTTAATATACGTCAAAACTGTCAGACGACTTCTTATAGGAGTGATTGCCCTTGAATGACAAATATTATCATTTTTTTTTCATTTTTGTCTATTATCTTGAAAACAATAATAAATACAGAGAAACATTAAATTGCAAAACTGATCAGCAAGACAAGTTCTACAAATACGTTCAAA